TAGGGGGAGGGGGCTGCAGCGGAGGAGAGGGGAAATGGGGGGCTGTAGGGGGAGGGGGCTGCAGCGGAGGAGAGGGGAAATGAGGGGCTGTAGGGGAGGAGGGGGGGAATGGGGCGGGAGGGGGAGGGGGTGCTGCAGGGCACCAGGAGAGGAGCTGAGGGAGGTGGTTGGACTGCAGGGGGTGGGGAAAGGAAGAAGGGTAGTGGGGGCTTCTGCAGGGACCTGGGGCACCTTTCTGGGATGGGGAATAGCCCATTTGTCGGGACTGAGAGGAGGGGGAGGGGGTGTCTATAGGTGGTTGCTAAGTGGAGAGAAAAAGTCTTAAAATTAATTTAAAATAGGGAGAATCAGAGGATGAAAACACCCGTCTGCACCTGTGCAGTGTGATTCTCTCTCCGTCCTCACCCCTGGGCCCCGAGTAACCCCCGCTCCCTGCCTTTTTAAATTGCCTTTGACTTTGCTTTTACAGTTTGGTAAAACACACTCCCAGCCCTGAGGCACTAAAGCTCCCTGCAGATCAGTGGCCTGGCTTCAGCACTGGGGGGAAAGAGAAGGCCTAGACTAGCCCATCTGACCTTTGGGTGCCTTCGTCACCTGAGAGGGGCGATGCCCCTTGAGACAGTGGCTCCCTGGAACAGCTTATTGCTGCTATGAGAGGGAATGTAAAAGGGTAACCGGAGCAGCACCTGGATCTCGGCGGGGTTAGGACGGGATTCGACACACACCTCAGTACGAGTGGCATTTAGCACGGGCATTCCACCGCCTTCTGAAGCCCGACGGTTGCCAGGGCCAGGATGCTGATCTGATTTCCAGAGTCAAGCGGTCAGGGCTGGCAGGGCCAGAGACAGGTGGCCGGAATGGCTGGATCAGTGATTATGACACGGTCAGGCTGGAGGTGCAAAACTTCACGAGCGTCGGTGAATCAGTGCTCTGATCTGGCGTGGCAAATCTGGCGTCCCGTGAAGGAAACAGACGTGTGTGTTCCCGCGGGGGGTTGTTAATTAGAGTTGGTCAATACATGGAATTCGTATCCCACGGGAAATGCCAAGACTTCGTTTTTAACCCAAATAGAAATCTTGGCCTTTTTTTGCAAAATGAAATATTCCAAAATATTTCCTGTGGCCCTCCTTGAAACATTTTGTGTTCTCACAAACATTTGATTCAATTTGTACGTTTTCATATAAAAGTGGAAAGGGTAAAGTTCAAAGGAAATGCTTTGATCACTTCCCAGGCAAAATATCAGCGTCAGTACATTCCCACAGAATACTCCGATGTCTCTGAATCAGCATTTTTCCCAACAGAAAAACGTTTGATGGTGGAGATCCCGAGGAAGATAGGCAGGATGTAAAACAGGAGAGATTGCGAGTGAACCAGGGATGGTGGATGATACTTGCGGTGATTGGGATGTTGGAGCTGTTACATGTGTAACTTACGGCCTGGCTTCACTGCAGAATTAGCTGGAGGAGGGGTCGGCAATCGGCGGCACGCGACCTGATTTTTAGTGGCACTCTGCTGCCAGCTGGGGTCCCGGCCGCCGGCCCCGCTCAGCCCGCTGCCAGCCTGGACGGACGGAACCCCAGGCCGGCAGCGGGCTGAGCGGGGCCAGCGGACGGGACCCCGGCTGGCAGGAGCCGGCAGACGGGCACACCACTTCTCAAAGGTTGCCGACCCCTGCGCTGGAGTGATCTGCGACTCCTCTCGAGTCAGCCTCGCTGAAGTGAGAGCAGCCACAGTGCAAAATAACCCTTGGCCATGCGGGTGCTGCTCGCTCATGGGTGGTGCAAAGTCTGCTGGGCTCCTTAGCGCTGCGGGGAGCTGAACTGCTATCTTGAATTCTTTCCCAGTGCCTTGTGGGAGATCTTGCCTGTCCTTTCGGGCTGCCCGGGGGGAATTGCGGGACGGTCCTGGAGGACTAGCTGCTCTCGAGTGGCGGTGTGAGCCGGGTGGTCGTGTTAGCTGCTGAGAGGCAGCACCTGTGCTAACGGCCGCGAAGACGAGCCGTTCAATCACACACGCCCGGTGGCTCATGTCGTTTGCGTCTCCTCTCAGCCAGGAGGAAGCACAAGCCATCGATCAAGAGCTCTTCACGGAGTACAAGTTCAGCGTCGACCAACTCACGGAGCTGGCGGGGCTGAGCTGTGCGACGGCCATTGCCAAGGTGAGCACTGCACACCTGGATTCCCCCTGCTCTCGGGGAGCCCCGCCCGTCCCGATCCAGCCATGATCTTCCAGGGAGGGGAGGGAGCTCTGTGCAGGGCCGGACCCAGAGTTGTAAATGAGGTTCTTAGATCAGTGTGCCCTGGAACGCAGCTTCCCGGGTTTATAAGGCTGTATCTGCCATCCCAGAGCACGAGACTATACACAGCAGGATCATCTCTCTCTCTCTCACACGTGCGCATGCAGGCCACTGTAATGCAGCCACCTCTGGGGTGGAGGCCGCCAGCTAGGCAGCATGACAGCGTGCATTGTTATCCAGACTTTTGGCAAGCAGCACAGATACCTTGGAGGTGGCGTTATCGGCACATCTGTCTGTGGTCGGTTACAGGGCTCCGATCCCTGCCACCCCTAACTGTGTTTCTACGAATGGTCTGTTGTGCTGTTTACCGAAGCCTGTTCTTTTCTCCCCCCCAGGCCTATCCGCCCAGCTCCTTCACCAAAAGCCCACCCACGGTGCTGATCGTCTGTGGCCCGGGGAATAACGGCGGGGACGGCTTGGTCTGTGCCAGGCACCTGAAGATGTTTGTGAGTAGTGCTGGCAATATGTCTGGAGACTTAAGTCCTCTCTGCCCAGAGCAGATACAGCAAAGGCAGCAGCCGAGCAAGCGTCCTTCACGCGTATACGCTCATGCAGGAGTGAGCCAGACGATGCCTGGGAACCTCCCTGCTCCATTCAGATCTTAGCTGAGATGTTCCTTAGGGGGTGTGACGAAGTGGGACTGTTCTTAATGTTTCCTCTGAATACTGTGTGGGTGCCTCAGTTTCCCCTATGCATTTTTTAAGTCTCCAGTGTGCATAAATGGCCGACAATCGGTCTCCTAGCAACAAATGGCCAGGGCCCTTCCCCCTTGCAAGGAAATAGCTAAAGGTGAACAAAGAGATCAGGTAACCTCCTGGCCTGGGAAAGAGACAAAGGCCAGAAAGGAGGGGCTGCAGGGGGTTTCAGTTTGGAGCTGTCTGGGGACTAGGAGTGAGGGCAGACGTGGGTGTCTGGCTCGCTGTGCCCCAGAATGGGCCTGGCTGAGGGGTCCCGTTCGCTGTACCTACAAGCTCTGTTTTAGACTGTGTTCCTGTCATCTAATAAACCTCTGTTTTACTGGCTGGCTGAGAGTCACGTCTGACTGCGAAGTGGGGGTGCAGGACCCTCTGGCTTCCCCAGGACCCCGCCTGGGCGGACTCGCTGTGGGAAGCGCAAGGTCAGACCCAGGAAGGTGAAGCCGTGTAAGCTTCTTGCCCTGAAGACAGTCTGCTCTGAGGGAGAGGAGGCTCCCCAAAGTCCTGACTGGCTTTGTGGGGAGCAGTTCCAGAGCATCGCCCGGGGACTCCGTGACAGGGGGCCCGTTCCTTTAGGACGGACCAGCCTCCCTTCCTCGCATACGGATTTTTCAGTGAGCAGCCCTGGGTGAAGTTCTGCCAACGCGCTGCGGCAGGTGCAGCTGTTTACCTCGGCCCTGGGCACAAGGGTGTAGCTCTGGACGGGAGAGGGAACTAGGAGAGAGGAGGTGCTTTGGGGAACCATAGGGACAGAGAGGAGGCTGAAGTGTGTGGTGTTTGTTTGACCTGATACATCCAAGCCCCAGGCAGGTGACACTAGCTGTGGGTCTGTGCTGGGAATCAGCCCATTCATAAGCCCCGTGACCACACTGGAGCATCGCCTGGAATTGTTCTGTCCCTGCAGGGCTACGAGCCGAGCGTGCATTACCCCAAGCGGCCCGGCAAAGCTCTGTTTGAAGGGTTGACGACTCAGTGCCAGAAGATGGACATTCCCTTTCTCTCGGAGTTCCCGTCGGAGGTAGGGTGCGTGGAATATCCAGCATTGTTACTTTCGTGCTGTCTTGGTCCATTTCATGGCTTCAGTTGTATACGCCTCACTGCACAAAATAGGGGAGAGAGGCTCACGTGCCAGACGCAGACCAAGGGTTAATTTCCTTGTCTAGGTTCGATTCTGAAGCCTCTTGTGATGGCCTAGTCTGACTTCCTGTAGCCAGGTTAAATCATTAATATTCACCAAGTGCTTTGGGATCTCAAGGAAGAAGGGGAAGCGAGGTGTCAAAGGGGAAAGGCTACAGGATGGAGCGTCTTTTTGTCCTGGGTTTGTACAGCACCTAACACGCTGGGGAGCTGCTCCATGACGGGGCTCTCAGGCACCACTGCAGAACCAATAAATCCAGTTAAAGTGGAAATGAGCAATGTGGGTTTATTACTTGTTCATGGGCATCTCTGTGGTGCTTATCGCCACAGCGTCTGGGCGTCCCCTGTATCTCTGACAAATGTACCTGGGGCTGCCACCCAATTATCTGCAGAGCAGGGAGCGTGTGTGTAAATGACTGGGCTCTGTTACGCTGGTGTGAATCAGGAGTCACTCCACTGAAGTCAGTGCGTTTAGACTGGGGTAGCCGTGTTCTCTTTCTACAAAGATACGGGGCTTGATCCTCCTCTCCCGTACCCCAGTCTAACTTCAGTGGACCGGCTCCTGCTTTACACACGTCTGAGGTTAGAATAAGGCCCTTTGTATGTAGCTTGTCACCCCGGATTTACCTGGCTTGAGCTCAGCCACCCCAGTGTAAATCGATGCAGTTACTCCGGATTTACACCAGTCTGAGACCAGGATCTGGCCCAGCTGGAACTTGAGGCTATTCCTTGCCTAGATATGTTCCGTAGTGTGCATGTGCCAGGGTGGGGGGGGTGGGATCCTGCTGTTTTAATCTCTTGACCCCCGTTTGCCTGCAGGCCATGCTGATTGATGAGTTGTATGGCTTGGTGGTGGATGCTATTTTCGGGTTCAGCTTCAAGGGAGCCGTGCGGGAACCTTTCGGCAACATCCTCAGGACCTTGGAGCAAGTCACCGTCCCCATCGCCAGCATCGATATCCCCTCCGGTTCGTTCCATCCCATCCCGGCGCTGCCCATGCTCTTTGGCATCCGTTCACTTTTCTCTCTTGATCACATTGGCTGCATCAGCAGGGTCGTTATGTTCCTAGTGGGCCTCTAAGGTCCTGGTGACACGCTGAGCTTTGCAGCAATGTCACTGGTCGGGACAGCAGAGGACCTGCTGGGTTATCCCAGGCTTCTGCTGTGAAGATTTGTACTATCGATTTAAACTCACTGGGCCAGCCCAATCCCAGTGGCCAGTGCCGGAGGCTTCAGGGGAAGGTAACTGTCTCTACCCCAGTAACACACTTGGGCAGTGCTGGTAGGGCAGGGAAAGGAAGAATTCCTTCTTGACCGTTGCCGGCTTGTGCCCTGTGAGTGAATTCACAAGCTGGCTTTATGTTGCGTCAGCCGGGATTTGCTTTGTCAGCCATCTTGTTAGTCAGCATGAGGTTCTTGTGTTGAACTGGGACTCAGGAAAAGTGGGTTCAAGTCCCAGCTCCATGTGACCGTGGGCAGATCTCTCCGTGCCTCAATTCCCCAGCTGTAAAATAGGGGTAAATACTTTTTCTCCCCCTCCCCCCCTTCTGCAGCACCTAGCCCTGATCTCAGCTGTGGTTTCTAGGTGTTCCCTAATGCACGGAAGAGACATTCTGGGAGGTGTTACAGCACCGTAGATTGGTGAGAAGGAGAATTGAGCCTGGCGTATTCCGTGGGGAACTAGTAACGCTCTTATGATTGACATCAGGGAAGCTCTTCAGACGTGGGAGGGAGTTTGCCTGGAGTGGGACTTACTTGGCTAACGGGCTCCCCCTTGTTTTTTTTCAGGCTGGGACGTGGAGAAAGGCAGCCCCGACGGCCTCCAGCCCGACATGCTCATTTCTCTCACTGCCCCCAAGAAAGCAGCGCTGCATTTTGCTGGCCGCTATCACTTCCTGGGGGGTAGGTTTGTGCCACTGGCTCTGCAGCAAAAATACTCGCTTAATCTGCCGCCCTACCCCGAGACTGACTGCGTCCTGCAGTTACCCTAGCCGGGGCCAGGCAGGATTGGCTTTAGCCAAAATCTGTCTGGGGGCGATTTGATTGTGAAGCAGAGACAAGCCCTGCCCAGTGTTTGACTGAATCAAGCAGGTGTTGGGGGGGTGGGGAGCATTGCTAGTTAGTAGGGGTGAGGCCTAGCTGTGCTGCACAAGTAGGGCCTGGTTCTGCAAAGCGCCTTTGACTTGCGTTGATCTCACGGGTGGGGGCGCTCAGCACCTCGTTTGGTGCTAGGAAATCCCCGGCATAGCTCTGCCTGGCGCGTGCAAAGCCAGCTGTGGTCAGCACACGTGTGCTGGGTCTGACCCAGTGCCCTTTGTCGTCGGCGGGAGGCTTTGGATCAGAACCAAAGGGTTAAAGTTCATTAAAAGGGGGGGCGTGGATTTGTTGGGAGTTACAGGTGGGTCTAGAAACGAAGCTCTGACGTGAACTCTGTTTAATATACTACACACGGAAGGGCCTGCGTTCCATGGGCTTTACAGCTGTAGCCACCGCTGATGTGTATATAAAATCCACCTTGTTTTTTCTCTGCAATAAAAGATTTATTGACACTAAAAATCTCTCTGCATTGGCCTTTCCTTCCCTCTCTTCTCATCTGACCCATGCTGCAAACATACAGCGGGTGAAACCCTGGCCCCGTGAAGTCCGCAGCAAAACTCCCACCGCCACTACTGGGGTTTCAACCCCTCATGGGACGCAACAGCCAGAAACGGGATGCAAAAGCTGGAGAATTGAGTTATTCACAAGTGGCGTGATCAGCTGATTCCCTTGCAGGGCAGAGCCGTGTTCAGTGGTTGTGATCAGTGCTGTGAGGGGTATTTTTAGTCTCCTCTTTGCTCCGCCTTGTCCGGGGTCAAAGGGTTTGTCTACACAGCACGTTACTGTGCGGTGAACCTGCTGCGCAGTAACATCCCGTGTGGACGCTGCTGCAATGCACTGAAAGTGCCTCACGCAGTAACCTGCTGTGTGGACAAGCCCTAAGAGCATCTGCTTCCGGCTGGGCTCCAGCAGCATCAGGGTTAGATCCTGGAGGAGGAAAAACCCCCACCCCGGCTATAAACTCCCCAGTGGCTCTTTTCCAGCAGTCGGACACTAGCCATGTCTTTCCACCCACGTACTTGTGCACAGAGCGGCCCCCTTGGGTAAGAGGGCCGGCCCGTTAACCCCTGCAGCCAAAGCGGGGGTGGGAAACGTGGGCTAAAGCGCGGTTGCTGAGTGACTGGGAAGAGGCCCCGCAGCAGGAGATGAATGTGCGGCGGGTTCATAGCAGGCCGGAGGGTGGCACCCCCCTCAAACAGGATGAGCCCCCATTCACTGCCCCTTCCTCTTTTTCTTCTTTTTGGCCCTTTCCCTGCGGCTGTCCTGGTCCGTCTTCCCCTCAGGCTGCTCCCTTGAGTCCGGCAACTCGCTCTCCAAACCCTTCGCCACTTTCCCCTTCTCTTTCTTTTTCTTCTTCCTCCTCTTCCTGGCCCGCCTCTCCTCCTCCTCCTCGGCACAACCCCCCCTCTCTTTGGATCTCTTCCGCTTTTTCTTCTTGGCTTTCTGCCGCCTCTCAGCCGGGTTGCTGTTTTCCGGGGCCGAGGCACCCGCCACTGCCTCCTGCTGACGCTCTGGGGCGCCGCCTCTCTGCTCCTCCTTCTGGCTGTACTTAGCCAGGAAGGCTTGCTCTTGCTCCTCGAGCCGGGCCAGCTTGGCACTCATGGTCAGACCGTGACGGGCTCCCCTGGGAAGAACGCACCGGACAGGGCAGGTTAACGACGGCCTGAGAAGAGATCGTGCCTAGGCCAGGGAGACCTGCGACCGCCCTCTCGTAAGTCAGCCCTGCAATGTATCCTCCCCGCTTCCACTGCAGTTGCATCCGACAGACTCTCAGCTGGATACTGGCTGGTGCCTTGGGATGCTGGGGACTAGGGGGTGCGTGAGCCAAACCCCCCTTCCTTGGGCCTGAACTGGACTCCAGCCATCCCCCCCTCTGACTCCTGGGTCGGGCTAGCAAAGCAGGAGGGCCAAGTGTCGGAGGGGTTAGAACAGGTCCTGCTGGCAGGGCCTCCTTGTTAGCAGGGAGCCGGGGCAATGTGCCGCTAGGGGGCAGAGCATAGGGTCTGAGCTCCAGCCCCACGCTCCCACCGCACTCAGAGGCGGGGACGGGTTCCTGAGATGTGGAATCAAACAGAACCAGCCCCCCAGCTCAGCCTGCTCTGAATAGCCCCCAGCCTGGGACGCTACACTCCAGGAGCCTTAAAAGTCCACCTGAGCTGCAGGAAAGGTAGGTCATTCAGTGGAACTCTCCCCCCCCATGCTGGATAAATGGAAGGCACCGGGGCTGGAAGGGATCCTGGTGCAAATGAGGAAGGGGGAGGAGGTGGCGTTCCGAGCCGGCACTAGCCATGTCTTTCCGCCCACTTACTTGTGCGCAGTGCGGCCGCCGCAGGCTCGGACCAGCTCCTCATCCGTCAGCCTGGGGGAGAGAGACAAGAGAGTTGGCAGCAGGGATCACTGGGGTGCTAACTGCTAAAGGGGTCGCGCGCTGCAGTGCTTCTGTAGGCCGAGCTGTATAGCCAAGGGATGACACCGCCGCCTGCGATATGCATAAGGCAACAGCTGGGGAGAGATTCCCCCAGTGGAAACCAGGCGTTTCCGGTTTTCCAGTTGTCCCCAGGACTGAATGAATTAGTCAGAGGCTGGCTGGAGGGTGGGGAAGGCCACCAGAGCTGGGGTGGGGGTAAACAGGGTGTGCTCCCCAGTGCTGTTCTATTCAGCGGGCCCACATTCTGTGTCCTACCCCGTCCCTACCACATGGGGCACTAGACAGAGACAGCTGCTCACCTACCCCTCACGGTGCTTGCAAGTCCCAGCGAGGAGGGGAGAACTGGCTATTTCGCTCCTAGGGTGCCACCGAGAAGCCAAGTCCACCACTCCCCTGGAGAAATGGTTCAGTCCCCGAGCAAACCCTGAGCTCTCCGGCAAGTCGGGGTGGGGAGGAAGACCCAGCAGGGATCTTGCCCCCCCGCTCCCCTTGCATGTGGCACAAGGACTCCTCCTGCACTGCTGGGGACAGACGGTGGGGGGAACGACAGCTCTAACACAATGGAGATCAACTAGCCGTGGGACGACACAGCAGTCACAGGGACTACTGCAGAATCCGATCACAGAGTAGGACTGCCCCTCCCCCAACCTCCTTGGGGTACAGGCTGTTCTCACAGGATCTGGCCCTCTGAGCAGAGATGTGTCCCGTGGCTGGTGTCTTTAGCACATGGCCCAGCCCAGTGGCTCAGAACAGCTGCTCCCTGCCCCCCCACGCCTGGCTGGGCACTTACTTCCTAACACTGGACAGGTCCAATTTCTCCTCCTCGTCCTCGCTGCTCTCCGAGGTGGAAACCTGCTTCGTTGGCTCCTCCCCTCCTGCTGTCAGCGTTGCCGCCTGGGACGGAGACAGGTGCAGTCAGAAGTCACCGTGCTGGAGACACCCCCACCACCCCACGGTCCGTGCTGCAGGTGTAGGGGAAGCTAGTGGGAGGGTTGGGGGAGCAGGGTCTGTGTTAGTCCAGAGAGGTAGCGTTGCAGATTAGATTGAAAGTCAGGACTCCTGGGTTCTATCCCCAGCTCTGCCTCTCTGGGTAGCCTTGGACACAAGTGATGGCCTCTTTCTGGGCCTCAGTTTCCCCATCCCCACATCTATGCACAATTCAAGAAGGGCGGTGAGAAACTGGAGAGGGTACAGAGAAGAGCCGCGAGAATGATTAAAGGATTAGAAAATGTCCCATACAGTGATTGAGCTGCTTGAGTCTACGTATTTAGTTTAACAGAGAGAAGGGCAAGGGGTGACTTGATCACAGTCTATACGTATCTGCATGGGGAACAAATACTGAATCACGGGCTCTTCCATCTAGCAGAGGAAGGTCTAAGATGAGCCAACGGCTGGAAGCTGAAGCTAGACAAGCTCAGACTGGAAATAAGGTGTACCTTTTGAACAGAGAGAGTCATTACCCACTGGGACGATTTACCAAGGGGCGTGGTAGATTCTCCATCACTGGCAGTTTTTAAATCAAGATGGGATGTTTTTTCCAGAAGATCTGCCCTAGCAATGACTTTGGGGCAGTTCTCTGGCCTGGGTTATCCAGGTGGTCAGACTAGACAATCACAGTGGTCCCGTCTGGCCTGGGAATCTACGAAATGCTCCACTACCCCCTCTTGAGGGATGAGCACAGGGGTGTGAGGAGGTAGCGCTCTATATGGCGGCAGCGGCGGGGGAGGGATAGCTCAGTGGTTTGAGCATTGGCCTGCTAAACCTAGGGTTGTGAGCTCAATCCTTGAGGGGGCCATTTAGGGATCTGGGGCAAAAATCTGTCAGGGACAGTACATGGTCCTGCTGTGAAGGCAGGGGACTGGACTCGACTCGATGACCTTTCAAGGTCCCTTCCAGTTCTATGAGAGAGATATATCTCCATGTAATGTGTGTCATTAGCCCCAGTATCTAGGCCACATTCCCCTCCACGCAGCTTCAGCTGGATACACTATTCTTCTTACTGTCCCTAAACTGTACAGTGTTGCAGGGCAGGTGTCAAAACAGCTGTGTGCCTGACCCCAGAGTCAGCTGCATTTCAGCACAGGGAACATGATCCCCATGCACCGTTGCTATGTGCTGTCAGACTTCTGCCCTGTTTTACCCCAGAGGCAGCAGCATTTCAGAGCTCAATGAGTGAACCCTATGCTCCATCCTTATACGCTGTCCAGCTACGCTCCACCCCAGAGGGGGCTGCATTTCAACACTGGGTGGGCAATCCCTGCACAGCGTCACTATGCGCTGCCAGACAGTTGGCTCGTTTCACTCCCAAGGTGGCTGCAGTTCAGCAGTGGCTGAAGCATGTGTGTAGTTGTGGGATCTTTCAGGATAGAAGGCACTACAGAAATGCAAGACGTTAGAGCCGACAGCACAGGAGCCTGTCTGCAGCGACGGGGAATCCCGAACACCGACCCGCGCGTCCTATTACCTTCACAAAGCGGCCGTACAGCATGCTCCTGGCACTGGGTGCTTTGCGGGGCTTCTTGTTGCTGATTTCCCCGTCCTGCTCAGAGAGCTTTTTCATTTGGACGCCATCCTAGGAGATTTAAACAGGCATCGTGTGAACAGCCAGAACTCATGACAGGCCACTAGCTAGTTTAATTACGTGCTCCATATTTCACACTTACATACGGTTAATCATAGAACCGTAGAAGTGCAGGACTGGACGGGACCTCAAGAGGTCATCTAGTCCCGTCCCTTGCACTCACGGCAGGACTATGTAATAACCAGACCATTCCTGACAGGTGTTTGTATTCGTATCTGTATTGCAGTACTGCCTAGGAGCCCTGGCCCAGGGCCCCATGGTGCTAGGCGCTGTACAAACACAGAGCAAAGAAACAGTCTCCGTCCCAAAGAGCTTCCAATCTAAGTACGAGACAGGAGATGACCGGTGGATACTCTCAGATGGGGGGGCGGGGGAAGGGAGACGATGAGACAATACTGCTCAGTAACATAGACACCGGCTGCCTAACAGTTCTGGAGTTTTTCTGTTAGCATCACGGCAAAGGAGAGCGTTCAATCTCAAATCACTTTGCCAAGGTGGCTCGGTATCATCGGCTCTGTTTTAGAGATTGCGTGCCTCAGTTTCCCAGAGGGAGAACACCATGCCCGAGCCAGCACAGCACTGCGGCAAAAAGAGAAAGCCGGTGTCCTGCCACCCAGCCCAGTACCTTTCCACATGAGACCCTTGGACCAGTGAGCAGAAATAAAGAAAGAATCAACTGTAATGTTTTTCCTGATCACTGGTCCAAGGATGGTCTTGTGGTTAAGGTACAGGTGAGGCCTCAGGACTCCTGGATTCTACACTCCCAGCTCTGGCACTGTGACCCTGGACAAATCACAGCACCTCTCTGTGCCTCAGTTTCCCCATCCTTAAAAAGGGGGTGACTATAGTGATCCCCCTTTGTAAAGCCCAGCGTCTCGTCAGATCAGGCCCGTGACGCACGGTCCTTAAGAACATCTGTGACAGTCACCACCAGTACTGAACCAGGGATCTCCCGAGCGAAAATCACGAGTCATTACAGATTGAGCTAAGGAGCCAGGGTCTGTAGCAAGGGGCTGTAACAGACACCTAGCGTCAGAGGACTGGCCACAGAGGGAGACACACACTGAGCGGCGAGTTGCGGGAGCTCTATTCATTATAGCTTTGGCCAGGGAAAACACCCAAAGCGCTTTTGGAGAAGTGAGCAGGGTCCGGCTTTGTTCTGGGAGGGCGTCTCCTATACAACCACGTCTGTAGCCTGGCGTCGGCCGCTCTTTGTCAATCCCATCCAGCTCTTAGCACTTAGATCAAGACGTCCAGGCCTCCCTGATCCCCCCCAACCCCTAATCTCCCCCTTTACCTGCCCAGCCTCCACCGAGATGTTCGCAGCCGACTTGTTGAAGAGGTGATCCCACCAATGGAAAGTGAACTGCTCTGCTGGGTCGTGACCCACCTGGGTTGGAAAAGAAAGGGTTTAAAAAACCCTGCCTTGCTCCCCTTCAGGATCTGCTGATCCAACACGGCTGTCGGGATCCTTCCCAACCCAGTCAGGCTCTACGTCCTCCTTTATTTACAAAGCACAGAGCTTTTGCAAGTGTGGGACATTCAAGGAGCTTGAGGCGTATGCGTGTGCAAGGGAGGGCCCTGGGCTGGCAATGGGGTGGGACAGCTCAGGCCAGGGGGAAGCCAGTTTAAAGCCAACCTCATCTGTTGGCCTAGCAGGGGCTGGGGGAGCAGCCGAGGCGGCAGAATCAGCTCTGGGAGGGAAGGCAGCAGAGAGAAGGAGCAGCTGATTCTCTTTTGCCAATCCAGAAGCAGCGCTGATGGAATGGCATCAGGTTCGGCCACGAGAGCCTTTGAAAGATAGGAATAAAGGGAGCCCAGAGAGGGCCTTCATCACCTCAATCTCCCACACACACACACCAAAAGAAGTCTTGAAGGGGAGAAAAATAAGACAAACCTACAATTTCAACAAGCCTGCCCCACTAGGAATTGGGCTGAGACCCATCAACCTCATTCCATGCAGGCCCAAGGAGCAGCCAGATGGCAAACGAGCAGGATCTAAACAGCTTATTCGCAGTCCCCAGGGTCATCCAGCCCCCAGAGCATTCCACCTATGTATAAGGCCAAGGGGGCACCGCACTATACAGCCTAGATGTACTGATGATAAGTTTTGCTTGTATAGACCAGGTCTTCCTTACCCCAGCTGTGTCGCATTTCACTTTCACTTTGATGGCTTCAGAGATGCCGTTCTCTCGTTTCCCCAGCCCTTTGCCTAGAGAGAGCACAGCAAGATAAATGCAGGACTTCCCTCACGTTAATGGCTCCTGGAGGGGTCGTAGGTGGGGATCGAACCCACAACCTCTTGATCCAAAAACACAAGCCCCAGCTTCTTAAGCTGAAAGACTAGCCAGCAACAGAACCATAAACCTCTTACATGGTTCAGGCACTAGAAGGGGACAAAGCTCCAACAAGCCCCTTGCATGGAAATGGAAAACCCAGTGCAAGCAAGAGACACAATATTGTGAGCACAAGAATCACCAGATTGGATCAGTACTGAGATCCTTCTAACCCACTGATCTGTGCCCAACAGTGGCCAGCACCAGCTGCTTCAGAAGAGAGTGCGAGAAACCCTTCACTATTGGGATAACCTGTTCCGGAGCAAGGTTTCCTCCTGACCCTCATAAATCAGAGATTGTCTTAAACCCTGAAGCATGAGGTTTAATATCCCTTCAAAAAATTCTATCATTGACTTATTATAATTTTGGCCATTCTTATTGTCTACCTACACACTCAATCCCTCGTTGAAGCTGGGCCTCAATGACATCTTGTGGTAAGGGGTTCTGCAGTCCAATGGCACATTGTACGAACAAATTATTTGCATGTATCAGTTTTGAATGTGCCATGTTTCAATTGTATTGACTATCCCCTGGTCCTTGTGTTGGGAGACAGGGAGCAAAGGAGCTCCCGATCCACCTCCTCCAGATCAATCATTATTTTGTGCACCTGATTTTTGGATGCATCAAGTCCGTACCTTGTTTCCAGCCGTGCCTCTGTAACTGCTGCTCTGCAAACGTCATCCCCCCGGTCTTGTTCTTGGGAGCGCCGTTCATGATGGACTCTGGTTGCTACCGGTAGTCTAAAGCTTGATGCTACTTGAACCCTGCAGCTTCCAGGCCTCCCTGTGCATCACTCTATCGTAGGAAGGTGGCACATAATTACACATGCTGAAATGATCATTTGCATTGAGCAGC